GACAGGAGACAGGAGGGGGAATGAAAGAAAATAAAAGGAGGGAGGAAGGGAAAAGGGAAGAAAATTTCCTAGTAAAACATTTCTGAATTCCTGAACCAACCAACTACCTTAAAAGTTTGTGCCCTAAAAACTAGAAAATAAAGTCCTCAGGAACTCCACTGATGGCAGAGGAAGCAGACGCAGAATGATCAGTTCAATGCCAACCTTGGCTTCAACTCTCCCCACCACCCCACCACTGCCACCCCTACCCCCAAAATGGACTCCATTGAAAACATGGTTCCTGGGGACACCGCTGTGATCCCATAGCACTTCAAGGCTAAGGCAGGAGTACTGATTTAGGGTTGAGACTTAGCAGCACAATCAGACCTTGTCTCAAAGCAAAGGAGAAGAAGGGAGGGATGGAGGGAGGGAAGGAGGGAGGGAGGGAGGGAGGGAGGGAGGGAGGGAGGGAGGGAGGGAGGGAGGGAGGGAAAGCCAGGAATAACTTGAGCATATTGGAGTATACCTGTCATCCCACCACTGTGGTGGCTGAGCAGGAGGATCCAGCCTGAACCACCAAGTGCACCCCAATTCAAAAGACAAAAGGAAACCAAATGTGACAAAGCATGTCTATAACCCAACAACACAGGAGATGAGGCAAGGGACTGAAATGCAAAAAATAAAATAATAAAATAAATAAAGGAGCATTCTAAGAACTACCTGACTTGAAAACAATCCTCTACTTTCTCTTAAACATCATGAGTTGTGCCATGAAAGGGAGGAATTCCAGGTGTGGTAGCTCACATCTATAATCCTAGTACTTGAGAATCAGGGTTAATAGGCTGCCGCATGTATGTGGCCAGCCTGGGTTATACAGTGAGAAATTGTCAAAAAATAACAATGATAAGGCCAGGGAGAGGGATCAGCCAATGGGTAAAGAGGGAGAGGGATCAGCCAATGGGTAAAGAGGGAGAGGGATCATCCCTCAGGTACAGGAGCTTGCCTCAGGCTGACATCCAGAGCTCTATGGATAGGACCCACTTGAGGGAAAGAGCACTAACTCCCACAAGTTGTCCACTCCCCTTCATACCTGTTTGTAATACACACATGCACACACATAAATAAAACAGAAATGTAATGGAAAACACTGAAAAAAGAAAAAGAAGAAAAGAAAGAATATTGCCCCTTCTTTATTTCTGAGGGACAGAAACAACTGTGTTTGGTGGGATGTGTTAGCAGTAAGGAAAAAGTCTCTCTGCATTCTCAGTGGGTGAAGAGAATAATGTCCCAGACACAAAGGGTTTCCATCAGACACAAAGGATGAAATTTAGTTTTTTGGGTTTTGTTTGTTTGCTTGCTTTTTTTAGTTTTAGCCTTACAGAATGACATGCCAACCCAGGAATAAAAGTGGAAATAGCAGTGTTATTACTTTGGAGAGACACTTCACAGGGGAAATAAAAAATGTCAGTAACCTTTTAAAAAAAAAAGTTAATCTGAGCAACCAGATGCTGAAAGAAGAAGCCAAGCCAGTATCGTTATAGACCAGATAAATTGTAGCCTGTGAAATAACTCCCAACAGACTCCCAGCCTTAGCTGATAAAACTGCACATTCAGAAAATACTACAATCATTTAGAAAAGCAAAGTGCAATCAAAAGTTTGTCCTGACACGATAACATCCATTAGAAATGAAATAAAGTAGAAACAGAAAGTTTATGAGGTGTGGTAGATACAGAGCTGCCCATATATTACCTTTAAAATATCTGGGAAGAACTTAAATTTCAGAGTGAAGGATGATTTAGGAAATCAGAATGCATAGCAAGTTTGACAGGCCTGAAAAGAGTTGTGAAAACCATAAAAGAATCTCTTTCTGGGCACCTTTAATCCCAGCACACACTTGGGAGGCAAGACAGGCGAATCTCTGAGTTCATGGCCAGCCTAGTCTACAGAGTGACTTTCAGGATAGGCTCCAAAAACACAGAGGAACCCTGTCTCGAAAAACCAAAACCAAACCAAAGCAAAAGAATCACTTTCCTCCAGAGAAATGTGAAGGCTACATTTTTGTTTGGTTTACTTTCTTGAGCCAGGGTTTCACATAGTACAAGCCGGCCTCAAACTCACTATGTATCAGAGAATGACAAATTTCTAATCATCCTGTACTTTACCTCCCAAGTGGTGGGGTTACAAGTGTGTTCCACCAGGCCAGGTATTTATTTGTTTTCTTGTTTGCTGTTGCAGGTTCCCTGTGTATCCCTGACTGGCCTGGAACTCACCATTGGTCAGACAGGCTTCAAACTCACAGCCATCTTTCTACCTCTGCCTCCCAAGTGCTAACTAAGGTCATAGTCACACAGCACCACACCAGTTCTGAAAGCTAAATTAAAAAATAAAAATGGTACATTAGTGGTTATTTTAGACACAGGTTGGGCAGAACTGTGTACTTGGACCCTCCTACCCCTCTGACACCCAAATGCTCAAGATAAACTGTGACAATAATAAAAGCCACAACATTCGAGTTCTGCGGTCCTACGGCTGTTGACCAGAGAGTCTGTGTCACCACAGCTGTCAAGGCCAAACTTCTTCTTGATAAAATGCCATAGAGCCAAGGGCTGACTGCAGTGGAGTAACCACAGAAAACCTTCCACAGGGCATCTCAGGGAAATTAAAAAGAAGCTGAAACTAAAATAACAAAGGCAAGAAAACAGGAGGCTGGAGAGCTAAGAGCACTTTTTCTTCTTGTAGAGGATCCAAGTTTAATTTCCAGCATGTAGAAAGGGGCTTACAACCATCTGCAACTCCAATTCCAGGCAATCCCTTGGCTTATTCTGATCTCCAAGGTTACTAGGCAAGCACATGGTGTACATACATACATGCAAGCAAATCACACACATAAAATAAATCTGAATAAAAAGTAGATGAGCATGGGTGGGGCTTGCCTGTAATCCCAGTCCCAACACTTGAGAGGCTAAGGCAGGAGGGTTGCTGCTAGTTTAAGAGCAAAGCCAGCCTGCAGACTGGCCTATATAGTGAAACCCTTTCTTTAAAAAAAAATCAAGGGACTGGAGAGATGGCTCAGTGGTTAAGAGCACATACTACTCTTTCCGAAGACCTAGGTTCACTTCCCACTACCATATCAGATGACTCATCTGCCTGTCACTCTGGTTCAAGAGGATCTGACATCCTCATAGGAACCCCATGGGTACTTGCACACATACCTACATGAACACACACCTATACACATAATTTCAAATAAAAATGAATTTTTAAAATCCCCATTTTATATAAGAAAGAGGAAAGGAAGGAGAGAAGGAAGTGGGGGCAGGCATAGTATCCCAGCACTTGGGTGGTCCAGCAGAAAAATCAGGCATTCTGGGTTGCCTCAGCAATAAAGAAAGTTCAAAACCAACCTGGACTACAGCAGATCTTGCCTCAAAAGATATGGAGGGGACAGGGGAAGGAGAAAGAACAGAAAATAGAAAAGATAATAGGAATGCTTTCAAAAATTTGAGGAAAATAGTAATTAATTCTATTCATAAACCAGACATGACAGAATATACCTACAACTCCTATACACAGGAGGCTGAATTCTAGGCCAGCAAGAGCAATACCGTGAGACCCTGTTATAAAATATAAATAAGCAATCAAGAAGTAGGGGAAAGAGATACATACCTGGAATCTCAGCACTTAGCCACACACAAGAAGATCACTGGAGAGTTCATGGGCTGGCCAGCTCTAGAATTGAGTTCCAAGCCAGCCAGGAATACATTTAGAAAGCCTTATCCCAAAAATAGACAAATGCACAGCTGCATGCATGCATGTGAACATTTACATGCATACTTACATAAATTTGGGTGGTAAGGAAGATAACATATAAACATGAAAAGATTTTAATCAAAGGTAAAGAGCACCAGGCCTGGTAGTACATACTTAGGCTGAAGCAGGAAGAGTACAAATCCGATGCTTACCCGAGTTTCTTAGAGAGTAAGTCTAGGCAAGTTAGTGAGACTCTCTCTCAAAATAAAAAGTAAACAGAGGGCCAGGAGGTGGTGGGCGCACCTTTAATCCAAGCACTTGGGAGGCAGAGGCAGGCGGATCTCAGTGAGTTCCAGGACAGCCAGGACTGTTACACAGAGAAACCCTGTCTTGAAACTCGCCCCACCCCACCCCCCCCCAAAAAAGAGGGCTGGGGATTAACTCACAGTGCTTGCTTTCTGTGCACAAGGCTCTCCATTCAGTCTCTAGTACCACAAAAATTAAGACTACAGTGTTTTATTTCTGTGGAAATCTGTCTTGTTTTTGTTTGACTTACTTGGAGGATGTTTTTGAGACAGGGTCTCTATATAGCTCAGAGCAGGAGCAAAGTCATGATCCTCCTGCCTCTACTTCCTTGGTGTTGGAATAACAACCATGTACCACCATGCTTAACTTTACGTGCAAAAAACTATTTTTGATGTTATTGTGGGGGGGGTGCCTTGCCTACATGTCTATCTGTGTACCATATGCATGCCCAATGCTGGCAGAGAACAGAAAAGGGTATCATATGCCCCAGAACTAAAGTTACAAACATTTGTGAGCCTATAAGTACTGGAAATTGAACTCAGGTCTTCTGTAAGAGCAGCCATTGTTCTTAACCACTGAGCCATCTCTCCATCCCCTATGTAAAAATTTAAAAATCGTACATTCTTATGTCAAATTCTATTTCAATATTGATTTTTCTTGAATGTGGAGAAGTAACTGAAATGGGGTTTTCAAAACCCTTCATAAGGAACTATTAAATTTTGAGATTCAGAGTAATTTACTTTTAATTTTTAAATATATAGTCCCAATATCAAAAGATACAAAAACACACATTGAAAAGTTAAGTCTCTGGTTGGGAAGAGAGGGGCTAGTGAGAGTAATTGGTGATAAGAAAGGGTGAACACTGTTAATTACATTATATTCATGTATGAAATGTCATAATGAAACCCATTACTGTGCATAACTAATATATGCTAACTTAAAAACTGTTTTAAAAAAGTTTCCTCTGCAACCACAAGTAAGCCAATCAGGTTCCTCTCCTCACAGCTTCCATGTGCAATGGCTGTGAACAGCAGCATTCTTGGAAATACATACAGCCCACTGTTTATGAGATGCTCTAAGGGACCATGGGACAGTCTTCTGGGGAACATTCATATCCCTGACACAATGCTGTCTCCAATCTAGGCTCTAGAAAGGTATGTAAGATCCTTTGGGAAGCCCCGGAGCACAGTGGCCAGGGTTCACATTGCCCATGTACCATGTGACAGGAGCTCCATTCAGGGCCAAGTCTGCATTCCCTGGCCACCAGACGATGCACATCTCAAAGAAGTGGGGCTTCCCCAAGTGTAACATGATCAAATTTAAAGACACTGCAGCTAAGAAGTAGGTTACCTCCTAAGGCTGAGGAATCAAACACATCCCCAGTTGCTGCCCCTTGGACAAGTGGCTAGCCTGCACTCATGAGGGGTGCCATTTTGCTTAATGTCCCATCCCAACAATCATGTTCACTAACAAATCTTATATTCAATTTTAAAAAGGCAAGTCTCATTGTTGCCCTGCCCCTCAGCCACACATTTCCATCTTCATGAGTGCTCTCAAATTCTTTCCTTCCCTTCCCTATACATCCTCCATATTAACAAACACATATGTCCTAGCTCCCTTTATGCTGCAGTGATAAATGTCATGCCCAGAAACAACTTGGGGGAGTAAAGGGTTTATTTGGCTTACATCAGATCTCAGTCCAGCATTGAGGGAAGTGAGGGCCTGAACTGAAGCAGGAACAGAACCAGAAACCATGGAGGAGCATTGTTTGTGCTCATGCTCAGCTATCTCCTTTTAAGACTTACGTAATATTTTTATTTATGTGATTCTGTGAGAGGCTGCATGAGTTTATGTGCAGCACATTCATGCCGAGGCCTGTGGAAGCCAGGAGGCAGAGAATAGCCCGGGGACTACGGCCACATGCGGCTGTGAGTCACCTAGTGTGGATGCTGGGAAACGAACCTCAACTGGCTGGGAACTAGCCTCTCTGCAAGAGCAATAAATACTCTTAGCCACTGAGCCATCTCTCTGGCCCCTTGAATAGCCTGATACAGCCCAGACCCGCCTACCTACCTAGGGATGGTGCTGGGCTACAGTGGACTGTCCTCCCTCAGTGGCTTGGACCCTCTTACATGAATCACTAATCAAGACAATCTCTCACAGAATCCGATCTGGTCAACCCCCCCACCCAGTTAAGAGTCCCTCAGATGACTCTGGGCTGTGTCAAATTTGACTGTTGAAGCTAGCTAGCTAGGATAAATACTATTAAAGTTGGTCGAGATCCTAAAAACTATGGAAATGTAAAACTCATATAGTAATTCAATAAGCTTTAAACAAATACCTCTAATAATGACCCTCTTCTCATACTCTGTGAGAGGTACTTTGTCTTTCCAATTAAGGAAATTGGCAAATTCCACATAGTTAATCAGGCCATCCTGATCCACGTCACAGTAGTCAAACAGCTGGTTCAGGAGCACCTCGTCTAGATGCAAGTTTGCCTGGTCACAAGCTTCATTGAGTTCTTCTCTGTCAATCATCCCATCTCCTTTCTGTCAACCAGTAAGCAAAGGAGGGTAAGGTGAGTGTGGTCTCTGAGTTAAAAGAAAATGGCTCTAGCACACATACTCAGCAAATTCCAACCTCCACTAAGAATCAAATATTTTGTATGCAAAGCTAGAGTTATCTTCATTGAGTCAACTTGATGGACATACTTTGTAGTCTGTGATCCTACTATAAGCAGAGTGTAATTCAGAACCTTTTGTTATTGGTCCCGAAAACTGAATCCAGGCCACTGCACAGTCAACACACATGAACTATGCTCATAACCCCACTTATTTTAATTACCTTTTTCTTTTCTGTTTTTTTTCTTCCTCCTTATTTATTTTAGTATTTTATTGTTGCTTTGAGACAAGGTCTCAAGTAGTGCAGGCCAGGTTTAAGATCAACTATGTAGCTGAGAATGGCCTTGAATTCTGGTCCTCTGCCTCCCAAGTACTAGGATGACAGGCTTGTTCTCACACACCCTGCTTAATCATATCCTTTAAACCAAACTGCTTGCGCTGGAATGTAGCTGGCGTAATCATAAAACATGCTTGGCATTTCACTTGAGCAATGTTTTGCATGTCTGACAGCTCATTACAATTTTTCATACTGACAGAGTTTTAACACCTTCTGTTTCTCGCTGGGGCTGTAAATGGTCCTGCACATCATTGCTTACTAACGAGGAAAACAGACACAAGGTTACAAAGCAAATTGTACAGAGACCTGATTGTGATTGATATTATTCCCACTAGCAAGGAAAAGAGGCTACCACCATTGTAACACTGTAAGATTCATTCTTCCAGAGAGGGAAAAACCCCTACTCTACTTTCACATAATAGTTAAAGGCAGAAATGTCTACACAAAATGTTATTGGAGGGAAACTGATGAGAGAGTAAAGAGAAATTTGGCTGGTTCCCTTAGGAGATGAGGGGGCCAGAGTATATAGTACCTGCTAAGGGAGAAAGTCAAAAGCTAAGACATCTTAACCACTTGGTGCCCAATGCATCCCTTCAAGCCAACCTTAGATGCACTCAGAGATGATGCTAATTAGGAGCTGAGGATTTTATTTCATGCATGCCACCCCTCCCATGGGAGGTTGCTTTGGGTGGTGAATTCTGGATGCTACATGTAGAGATATACCTCAAGAGTAGAGTGTTTGTCTCAAATGTGTGAGACCCTAACTTCTACTTAAAGAGAAGACAAAATATATGAATGTGTTGACCCATTAAAGACATTTAGGAGAGAGAATCTATCAAGAGAAACTACTTATGAATGAATAATTGAGCATTACTGGGGCTCCACCAGCCCAGAGATGAATTCACAATGCCATTGAAGATAAACCCCTGCAGAAATGACCCAATGAGACAGACCAAGTGAATTCTAAATAAATTACTATGGCCCTGGAGAAGTTCCTTATGCCTCCTTTTGTTAATACATATTACCATGACAATAGAGTTATAAATGGCCTGGATTAATGTAAACTCCTTTATAAATATCTCTATGGCAAACCCAAGTGAAGCAAAATCATGAACCTGCCATCCTGCCAGGAAAATAATGTGGTAGCTATTGACAGAATCAAAATGTCTACAAAGCTAAAATAGACACTGTCAATAATGACAGCTTTGCTGCCCAATACAAGGCTTGTATCCATTGAAAGCCTGGGTGCTTTATTTTCATTGAACTCCATGTAACCATCATACCACTCAAAGCTCAAGGAAAGCTGACCATGTTGGGGGGTTGGGGAGCATACAGATTTCCTTTATGAATTATAGGGACAAAGACAGCCAGTAGCCAAAATCCCCAGTTGCAACTCTGGGTCCCTCAGGGCTCTTAGCTGTCCTTGTGTCCCAATACTGTGTGGTGTGCATGTTTAGCAACCGGCTCTCAAGTAATTTTTTAGGGACAGAGTTGTTTTGTTCATTTTTTGCTGCTTGGGTCTTGGTTTTTTGAGACAGAGCCTCACCCAGGTTGTGCTCTATTACGAATCTCCCTGCCTCTGGCCCCCAAATGTTGGGATTTAGGCATGTACTGCCACCACACTCCTCAAGAAGCCCCGATTTGTACCAGGTGCTACTCTCCATGATATAACTTTTCCTTTCTTCATTGGGGCCATTTTATAGCTGCCAATATGATATAGCTTTGCTTGCAAACTTGATGGCAGCTCAAGTGGCATAATACTGCCACTCAAATTTGTGGTTAACACCTTCAGATTCTAAGTGACCTAAACCAAAGGTCTACTATTATCCAGGATGGTGCTTAACGGGCAGATGCCTTCAGTGAACAACAGGGTTAATCTTCGAATGCAAGAGTATCCATTTCTAAAAACCAAAGTTTGTTTGCTGTTTTCATTATTTTTTCTATGAAACTGAATCAGAGCACCCAGTAGTTTTGGATTCCACTGCACTAGAATGACATCATCTCAGTAAAACATTCCTTAAGGATGCCGAACACTACACCATGCAGATTAAAAGCTGATGGTTTAAAAAATGCATCATCATTAAACAATGTTCGGTGAAGTGATGTCATCATAAGGAGCCTGCCTGGTGGCTTAGTCGGATGGTCACCAGCTATGAAGATAATTTTATTTCTTATAATTTCATTCAAAATGGACTTTTAAAAAAGCAAAGGACTATGCATCATAGCAGATACCTCAGTTAAGGCTTCTATGCCTGTGATGAAAAACCACGACCAAAAAGCAACTTGTGGAAAAAGGGATGTATTTGGCTTACACTTCCATATCACTGTTCATCTTCAAAGGAAGTCAGAACAGGAACGCAAACATGGCAGTATCCTAGAGGCAGGAGCAGATGCAAAGGCCACAGAGGGATGCTTACTGGCTTGTCTCATGGCTTGTTCTGCCTGCTATTTTTAGAACCCAGGACCAGCAGCCCAGGGATGGCACCATACACAATGGGCTGAGTGCTCACCCATCAATTACTAATTAAGAAAAATGCCCTATATCGTGTGGAGGTATTTTCTCATTCGAGGTTTCCCTCCTTTCAGAGAACTCTAGCTTGTGTCAAGTTGACATAAGACATCAGCACAGCAGATTCTATTATTTTTATTTGGGAGCTGTTTAGAACTTATTGAAGGGAATTAGAGTGCAGCTTTGTGGCCAAGCACCTGTCTAGGAAGTGTGATGCTTGAGTTTCATCCCAACAGTAACACACACACACACACACACACACACACACACACACAATAGACTTGGGCCAGATATTGTTGTACATGCCTGTGTTCTCAACTTGAAGGTTCAGATCCAAGGGCAGTCTATGCTACATGCTACATGCAACCCCATCTAGAAAAATTTGTATGGGTTTGGAGGGGGTCTGTTTGTATATCTGTATCTCTGTCTGTCTCTTTTTTTTGTATGGGACTAAAAATTTAAATGTGCCTATTCTAGCGTACATGTTTTCATATTGAAGATCATCTTGAAATTAATGGAATACCCAGTAGTCACTAAAAACCAGACAAAGAATCAAATATATTTTCCTCTTATATTTAATTTTTAATTATGTGTATGTGTCCCTAGTGGGGGGGGTGTGCACATGCGCA